TCTTGATCAGGTAATCCAGGAAATTAAATCTGCTCCACTTCCAATATTTAGTCTCCAGCTTGATGAATCTACAGACGTTGCAAACTGTTCACAGTTACTGGTTTACGTGAGGTATATTATGATGGCGACTTTAAAGATGAGTTTCTTTTTTGCAAACCTCTTGAAATGACAACTACTGCACGTGATGTATTTGACACCGTTGGTTCATTTCTGAAAGAGCATCTCTTGGAAAAAGGTTTGTGGTGTTTGCACAGATGGTGCTCCAGCTCTGCTAGGATGTCGATCTGGATTTCGATGTTTGGTACTGAATGAGTCACCAAAAGTCATAGGAACTCACTGTATGATTCATCAGCAAATATTAGCAACAAAGACGCTGCCCCAAGAGTTAAAAGAAGTAATGAAACGTGTCATAAGTTGTGTCAATTTTGTAAAGGTGAGCACTTTAAACAGTCTACTGTTTTTGCAACTGTGCAATGAGTTGGATGCTCTGAACAATGCTCTGCTATTTCACACTGAAGTGAGATGGTTGTCAAGAGGGAAAATTTTAAAACGTGTTTTTGAGCTTCGTGATGAACTCAAAACGTGTTTTTTTAAAATATACATTTTATTGATTTTTTACAGAGAGGAAGGAAGAGGGATAGAGAGTTAGAAACATCGATGAGAGAGAAGCATCGATCAGCTGCCTCCTGCATACCCCCTACTGGGGATGTGCCCGCAACCAAGGTACATGCCCTTGACCAGAATCGAACCTGGGACCCTTCAGTCCCCAGGCTGACGCTTTATCCACTGAGCCAAACTGGCTAGGGCTCAAAAACGTTTTTTAATCAGAAAGCAAGACCACAGTTCGAGGCACTTTTTGGCAATAAAAGTGAACTGCAGAAAATAGCTTACTTGGTTGACATCTTTGCCATCTTGAATGAGTTAAATTTATCACTGCAAGGATGAAATGCAACATGCCTCGATTTGTCTGAAAAGATCTAATCACTCCAAATGAAACTTCAGCTTTGGCAAAAAAAAATTGATGAAAATAAAATTTACATGTTGCCTACCTTATCTGTTTTCTTTGAGGAACATGACATTGAACCAGACAAAAGGATTATGATGATAATTTCTGTGAAAGAACACTTGCACATGCTTGCAGATGAAATTTCATCATACTTTCCAAATCTACCTGACACCCCATTTGCACTTGCCAGAAGCCCATTCACAGTCAAAGTTGTAGATGTTCCTGAGACAGCACAAGAGGAATTCATTGAACTTATTAACAACAATGCAGCGAGAACTGATTTCTCTACAATGCCAGTTACAAAATTCTGGATCAAGTGTTTGCAGTCATATCCTGTTCTGTCTGAGACTGTTGCACCTTCTTCTTCCATTTCCAACAACATATCTTTGTGAAACAGGGTTTTCCAGCTAGTTGGTTATCAAGTCTAAATACAGAAGTAGACTTGTTGTGGAAGATGATCTTTGTTGTGCTCTTGAAAAGACTTCCCCAAGAATTTCTGATTTGGTGAGAAAGAAGCAATCTCAACCTTCGCACTGACGTTGACTTTTTACGCATACTGTCACAAAATGTAGCAATGTACTTTACTGTTGTTATATTAAGACTGTTACCCATGCTACACCATGCTTCAAGACAAAATTTCATTTATTTGTAATTAAAAATAAATATTTCACAATATATAATTACATATTGTTTTTGTGATTAATCACTATGCTTTAATTATGTTCAATTGTAACAATGAAAATACATCCTGCATATCAGATATTTACATTACGATTCATAACAGTAGCAAAATTACAGTTATGAAGTAGCAAGGAAAATAATTTTATGGTTGGGGGTCACCACAACATGAGGAACTATATTAAAGGGTCACGCAGCATTAGGAAGGTTGAGAACCACTGGTTTAAGGGAGCTATGCAACAAATGTAATGATATCCACATCATAGGAGTACCAGAAGGTAAAGAAACTGAGCACGGTATAGAGAACCTATTTGAAGAAATTATATCAGAAAACTTCCCTAACCAGGTGAAGGAAAAAGGCACACAAATTCAGGAGGCACAGAGAGTGCTAAGCAAGAAGAACCAAAAAAGGCCTATGCCCAAACACATCATAATTAAAATGCCAAAGAGAGTATTTTAAAGGAAGCAGGAGAAAAGCAACCTGTTACCTACAAAGGAGCTCCCATAAGGCTTTCAGCTGATTTATCATCAGAAACTACAGGCCAGAAGGGAAGGGCATGAAGTATTCAAGGTAATGAAAAGCAAGGATCTGAAACCAAGACTGCTCTATCCAGCAAGTCTATCATTCAAAATAGATGGTGAAGTGAAGTTTCCCAGACAAAAAAAAAAAAAAAAAAAAAAAAAAAAAAGGCTAAAGGAGTGACCAAACCAACATTGCAAGAAATGCTAGATCAAACATTTCTGTGCCTTACTCATCAGTAGTGTTGTCTGCCCAGGGTATCCTATATAATAAAAGCCTACTATGCTAAGTGTCTGGTCATCCAGTTGGCCATTCAACCAATCAAAGCGTAATATGCTAATGATATGTTAAGGAAGCTCAACCGCTCGCTGTGACGTGCACTTACCACCAGGGGGCAGACAGTTGACCAGTCGCTATGACATGCACTGACCCCCAGGGGGCCGACACTCTAACCCAGGGGTGGGCAAACTTTTTGACTCGAGGGCCACAATGGGTTCTTAAACTGAACCGGAGGGCCGGAACAAAAGCATGGATGGAGTGTTTGTGTGAACTAACATAAATTCAAAGTAAACATCATTACATAAAAGGGTACAGTCTTTTTTTTTTTTTTAGTTTTATTCATTTCAAACGGGCTGGATCCGGCCCTCGGGCCGTAGTTTGCCCACGGCTGCTCTAACCAGTAGGTTAGCTTGCTGCTGGGGTCCAGCCAATCGGGACTGAGTGAGATGGGCTGGACATGCCCTGGAGCCTTCCTGCGGTCCCTCCCTAGCTGTCCAACCTCCCGCGTCCTTTCCCAGCCCCAATTGTGCACTGGTGGGGTCCCTCGGCCTGACCTGTGCCCTTTCGAAATCCAGGCTATGGGACCCCTTCTCTGAGTGCATGAATTTCATGCACCGGGCCTCCAATTAGGTATAAAAGCCTCTCTTACATAATGGACCGAGAATGTGAATGGGCAATCAGAATACAAAATTCTAATCCTGGCTCTGTCATTAACAAGTTACATAATCTAGAACAAGTCATTTTTGTTTGTTTGTTTTTATTTTTTTGTGTTTTTTTTTTTATTGTTGTTGTTAATCTTCACCCGAGAATATTTTTCTATTGATTTTTAGAGAGAGAGGAAGAGAGAGGAAGAGACAGAGAGAGAAACATTTATTGGTTGCCTCCTGCACGCACCCCAACCAGGGCCAGGGATCGAGCCTGCAACCAAGGTAAGTGCCCTTGGTTGCAGGAATCAGGACCCTCCAGTCCATGGGCCAATGCTCTATCCACTGAGCCAAGACTGCTAGGCTTTTTTGGGGGGGGGAAGGGGGTTAAGTCATTTTTAAGAATGACTTTTACAGACTCAATTTTTATATCCTTTCAATAGGAGTGTTGGGCTATAATAGTTTTGAAAGGCATTTGTCACTTCTCCAGGAATAAAGAGCCTTCTGTGTTCCGAGTATCACGCTGGACACTTGGAATGTGCTGCTGGACGGCAGACTTGGAATCTGCCCTCATGGAGCTTACATTGCAACGGGGACGACACATTTATTTAAAATTGACATGAATTTATAGGCACAACAGATGGACCAAGAAAAGGAACAATGTGCTTTGGAGCACGTGACCAACATTCCTTCCATGTTGTAAATACTGAGGACGATGTTTTATTTTCTCTGGGGAAAAACCCAGAATTCACAGGAGGAGAAATCATAACATGAGAAAGTCTGGCTCCTGGTTGTGGGTGAAGCTTGGCAATGGGTGAAAAGCTAATTGGCATCGCCTCCCTGACTCTCAGCTTTCCAAGAATGTAAGGTCAGATGAAGGCGCACAGACACCTCACTAGCCCACACTGATACCCAACCGAAACAAAAGGTGGTTAACATGGAAAGGGTCGTGGTAGGTAGGGTGGCAACTTATTCTCCTACATTTCTCCTAACGCAGTGTGATTTGGGTTGAATATGAGTCAAAACTTCCTGCCTGGTGTGTACTGAGCAAGACCTGGTCCTTGGACATTCACAATAATGATGGACCATACACAGCTGGTCATCTGCTCAGAGAGTTTAGCTAGAGATAAAAAGATGTACCACATAACTTCTGAGGTTCCTATACACCCTCCAAGCCTATGAAAATGACTGTATAAGAAATAAGAATATGCCAAAACTGGTTTGGCTCGGTGGATAGAGCGTCGGCCTGCGGACTGAAAGGTCCCAGGTTCGATTCCGGTCAAGGGCATGTACCTGGGTTGCGGGCACATCCCCAGTAGGAGATGTGCAGGAGGCAGCTGGTCAATGTTTCTCTCTCATCGATGTTTCTAACTCTCTATCTCTCTCCCTTCCTCTCTGTAAAAAATCAATAAAATATATTTTTAAAAAAAAGAAAAGAAATAAGAATAAATGTAGGCAATTAAAATCCCTCTGATTTATAAATGTGAAAAAAATAAAATATGGTATATTGTACAATGGAATGGTATTCAGCCCTAAAAAGGAATGAAGTATTGCTCCACGCTACAACATGGATGATCCTTGAAAACATCATGCTCATGAAGGAAGCCAACCAGAAAGACCACATGTTATGTGACTTACATGAAATTTCCAGACTAGGCAGATCTGCAGAAACAAAGTAGGTTAGTGGTTGCTCATGGCTGAGAGGAGTGAGGGATGGGGCGAGAGCTGAAGAGAACAGGGCTTCTTTTCAAGGTGAAGGAAATGTTCTGAAATTGATTGTGGTGATGGTTGCGCCTATCTGTGAATATTCTAATTCAATACTATTGGATTTTACACTTTAAGTGGATAAATCGTATGGCATGTAAGTTACATCTCAATAAAACTGCTTCAAAGAAAGTAGAGCCAGGGCCTTCCCCCGGAGGCTCCATTCTGGAGGAGAAGGTCTGCAGGAATCAGATCACAGACACAGTTCCCATGGGCACGGGGCCGTGGCAAAGCCCGGGGCCAGGAGACCGCACCGAGGGCGCCCTCGCAGGGGCTGGGGAGCTGGTCAGCAAGGCTGCTCTGGGGACGTGATTCTTTTAACACCGGTTTTTATTTTACAGCTTTAATGAGTTGTTTTTTTTTAATGTTTTGGCCATAATTTTATTTAACATAAAATAACCCCTCCAACTTTACTGAGGGGTTGACCGCGTCCATGACCAAACCCGCCTCTGAGCGGCATTTGGTTGTTGACCCAGCCCCAGCCCCGGCCGGCATTCTCCTCGGCGGGTGGGGGGAGGGGCACATCACTCTCCCTCTGTGGGTGTCTCTGTCAGCTTCCCCTCCTGTGAATCGCAGGTCACTCCCCGTCCAGATCTTTGGGCGGCCAGTCTCAGGGCGGCTGCGGCGCAGGGTGGCGGGCACGATCTCGGGGGGCAGGTGCAGGTAATCGCGGAGGTACTGGATGCCCTCGTTGGTGAGGTACCAGTAGGAGTGTCTCCAGGCAAACTGTTCCTTCACGTAGCCCCGGGACTTGAGAGACTGCAAGACAGAAAACTGTGGCTGAGACCTAACCAGAGGCTTGACGCTAGGAACGCGGTGCATGGGGAGCTGGCTGCGCAGTAGGCAGGTGTTCAGGTGCATCTACCTCACGGCCTGTCAAGGCAGCAAGCAGCGCGGGCTGTCCTGACCTCCTGGGCTTGGCCTTGAGCAGCCGCAGAAAACCCCTCCATCGGCACCCACTCCAGCAGCGCCCGGCCGGCTACCTGCATGGCCTTCATGACGTGGAGATTGGGCACGTTCTTGTCCGCCAGCTCGGGGTGCTTGGGCATGTGCACGTCCTTCTTGGCCACCATCACCCCCTCCTTGAAGAGGAGCTCGTAAATGGCAACCGGTTCTTTCGGGGCATCTGGAGCCAGAACTGCAAAGCAACGAGTTACATTTTATAGATCATAACACTCACCATCTCACATGGACAATATTTGGTGAATTTACTGTGTGCTGCCACCATCAACCATAACACAGTTTAGAACATTTTCCTCACCCCAAAAAGACTCCTTAAGCTCAAATACAGCCAATGCCATTCCCTGCGACTACTAATCTACTTTCTGCTTCTGCTCTGCCTTTTCTGGAAATTTCATATGAACAGATTACAACACGGCGTCGGCTGTCCGGCTTTGGAGGCCCGTGTTGCCGAGGTGCCCATGCCCAGCCTCTCTGTGGCTGACTAGCTCTCCCCTGAACGGACAGACCGCTTTGTTCCTCAGCCCCAGCGGGGGCACTCAGGCTGCCTCCAGTTTGGGGCTCTTATGAATAAGCTGCTGTGAGCGTTTCACACACGTCTTTGTGCGTTTTCCTCTCTCTTGGAGAGATGCCTAGGAGTGGAATTGCTGAGTCATACGGGAAATTTAACTTCTTTAAAGACTTTCTTTCCATCCTGGCTGGTGTGGCTCAGTTGGTTGAGCATCATCCCGGCCACCAAAGGTCACGGGTTCAATTCCACATCAGGGCACATGCTTGGGTTTTGAGTTCAATCCCCAGTAGGGGGCGTGCGGGAGGCAGCCGATCAAAGATATTCTCTCTCTCTCTCTCTCTCTCTCTCTCTCTCTCTCTCTCTCTCTCTCCCTCTCTCAAAAAATTTTAATTTAAAAATAAAAAAGCCTTTATTTTCCAAAGTCCCACCATTTCTACTTTCTCTGGGGAAATGACATGTAAGCTGAGACCGAACAGGGGAGAAGGAGCGGCCTTGCAGTGTGAGGGATGGTGTGTGAAGGCCCCGAGGCCCGGGAGGGTAAACGCTTACCTGGATAGAGGAGCTGTGTCCCCTAGGAAAAACGGGTGAGGTTCTTTACATTGAACTCGAAAATACGAAACTGTGAGGACACAAAAACGAGTGCGAGGACTAGAGAGAATGTGTCACATCAGGAACCTGCGGGAAGGGACCAGCAGCCACAAGCAGGGGTGGGGCTCCCAGAAGCTGAGAGCAGCTGACGTGAGGAGCGGGAAGGCTCCTGGGGCCTGTGTCTTGGGGCTGCAACTTTACTTGCCCTGGAGGCAGTGAGAACCCCTGGGGGCCTGGCGCTGCCAGGGCGGGAGGCCCTGGGGACCGTGCAGAGACTGGGTTAGAGGAGGGAGAGACAGGGACAGTCACTCTGCTGTGACCGCAGTCATCCAGGCAAGATGCCAGGAGCTGGAGATGGTGAGGGGCGGGGCGTGGTGACGGACTCGGGGGCGAGATGGAGGAGTCCAGCACGTCTCCAGGTGTCTGGCTTGGGCTGAACCCGGGGGAAGCTGCAGACGGGACAGCACTCTGTCGGGGAGGAGGGGAGGTGCCGAGGTGTCCATTATAGACACTCGGGTTCGAGAGCCTGTGCGCAGGGCCTGCCCCTGGGAGAGCAGCGTGTGGACTCGTGTCCTCGGGAGCGGCCCCTCCTTGTGAAACACGCCCCTGATGTAGGGAGCCCCCCATCTGTCTTGTTCCAAGTACGGGACAGCCCCTGAGAGCTGTGCCTTTCAACAAGCCCCTGAGGTTTGGGAACGATCGCATCACATGACACACCAAAGGGTGTCCTCCGGGCTGGCTCTCTGCCTCGTCCCGGCTTTGCCCTCCGCCCCCTTCTGGTGTCTGGGCCCAGCGATCCCGCATCCAGAGAACAAGGGTTCCCCCGCCCCAGAGTCTGCTAGCCCCCACTCTCCACTGTCCTCTGCACACTCCCGATTTGCAGCTGGGCATGTCATGCCTTCCCAACGCTGCTTGCAGCTGGATGTGGCCATAGGACTGAGTCTGGACCCCAAGTGGCGGTGTCTTTCCAAGAAGTAAAGGGGGGAGATGTGGCCTCATAGCTCCTCTTCCTGACAGTGGGGTGCAGGTGTGATGTCTGAGCTCCAGCAGCAACCCTGGATCCTGGAGTGGGAGTGACCTCGGGAATGGAAGCCGCACACGATGGAGCAAGAAGATAGAAGCCCGACAGGACCTGCATTGTCCAACTTCACGTTCCATTCTGCGGTGAGCAGAACGCAGAACACAAAGCGAAAGGCACCCCAAAGTGTGTGAGCAGAGCCTGAGCCTGCACCGAGCGCCATGCCAGCCTCTGCCCACCTCTGGACATCAGCGGACAAGGACATGCTTCCATTGTGAGCAACCACCTGAGGGCTTTCTGCTCTCTGCGCTGGTTCTGCCCTAATACCTGGGTCTGAAACCCAGTCCCACCTCCTCCTTTCCTTGCCAGGTCCCTATGTGGCCAGGATGGGTGAGTGTTGGTTCCCACCCCCACCCTCACCCTGAGAGTGGCCCCACAGGCAACCCACAGACATGGCAGAGCCGGGATTGCAAACCCAGGCCATTCTGCCTTACGTCTCACCGGCTCATACTGTCTGATTGTCTATGGCCAACTCCAAACCGAGTGCTTCACACTGTGCTCTATTTCTCATGGGTTCGCGGGCTCACCAGGCATTTCTAACTGAGGGTCCCTCATGAGGCTGCGGTCAGATGGCGCCGGGGCAGGCGTCATCTGGAGGCTGGACGGGGCTGGACGTCCAAGGCGACTTCCTCCCGCCTGGCAGGTGGTGCGGGCTGTGAGCCCAGCAGGGGCTGTTGGCAGGCCCCTACCTGCTCCTCACAGCGTGGAGGCAGCATTCCCAGAAGTCTCCGGGAGTGAGCATCCCGAGACCCTGCAGAAGCCACCAGGCTTCTAAGGCACCAGCTCCTAAGCCACGCGCGTCGCTGCTGCCATGTGGCCTGGGCCAGCGCAGGCCCAGGGAGGACGAGCAGGGGTGACTACCAGGAAGCAGGGCTCACCGGGCCACCTGATTGGATAGGAGCCCAGCGCTGCGTTCAGAGGCGCAGACGGGCAGCAGCGGCGTCCACCCGCTGACTGGGAGCCCGGGAATGGGTGAGCTCTGTGCGCTCCGAGTGTGTGTGCGGCATGCGTGGGCCTGTGCAGTGCACGTTGCGCGTTAGGGGGATGTCTATGTGGTGTGTGCTGTGTGGCAGGAGCAGTGTGGGAGTGGGGTGACACATGTGTCTGCACGTGGTTGGGAGCTGGAGCTGGCAGAGAATGTGGACTCGGGAGGGTGTGTCTAAATCAGTCTTCAGCGGTCTGGGTCCCTTGCCGGCTGCTTCCCACTTTCCTCCGGCAGAGCCTCTGCCAGCGCCAGGCAGGGAGGAAGGCACCAGAGGCCCGCCGGGGGGAGGGGCTGGGCCGGGGCCTCCTCGCTGCCCACTCACAGGGCAGCAGGTCCGGGTGGGGGTCCCAGTGAGGAGGGCGGGGCTTCTGAACGCCTCCTCCCCTGCAGCTCCCAGAGGCAGCTCTTGTCCCACCTCCGCCCCAAGCAGGAGGCCTCTGAGGAGGGAGTGTGGGCCCTGGGGTCCCAGATGCAGAGATCACGGGGTTCCACTCCTGCCACACGACTGTGGGCAGGTCCCTTGCATGCTCTGAGCCAACCAGAAGGGCTGGATTGGACCCCTTAGATTTCATGCCGCCCAGCACCGGGCAGACTCCACTCAGCCTCCCTTGCACTCGCTCTCATTCACGTTCTACCTGTGAACCCCGGAAGGGCCCACAGAGACAGGACAGCACCTACGCCCCAGAGGTGACCTCAGGCAGACTCCTGAGCCAGAGGCCCCCCTCCGTCAGGCAGGGCCCAGCAGTGGCAGGGGAGGGAGCAGAGGGGAGCTCATCTTCCTGGAATATTAATGGCCCGTCAGGAGTGCTGGGCCGAGCTGAGCAGCAATCTGCCTTTATTAAGGAGGCAGGCAGCAGCTGGAGCCCATGGGCTGGACAGGAGGGAGGAAGGCAGCAGCAGCTGGCAGGGCCCGGAGGGGGGGCGGGGCAGCAGGTAGACAGCTGAGGAGGTGCCTCCTCACCCCCTCCCCGCCCCTGCCACCTGCCCTCCCACCTGTGCCTCAGAGCCCCCTCCCACCTCAGCCTCTGTGCCTACCCCTACCCCACACCCTCACCTCCTCTGCTCCTCGTCCAGGAAGCCCCTGGCAGTCATGCCTGGCTGGGAATCCGCATGGCCTCCACTGAGCTGGGCTGTCACCTGCGCATCCTTCTCTAGCCCGGAGGTTCTCCGCCTACAGCGCGAGGTCACACCGGTGCCTGAGAGTCATGGTCCCGATGCCACCCCCCCTCTCCCCCCCCCCGGACCCTCCTGCACCCGAAGGCCTTGTGGGGATGTCAGGGTTCATTTCCCAGGTGCTCCCACATGCAGCGCTGAGACACCTGCCTGGCCTCGGGGACCCCCTGCCCAGCACCCACTGCCGCTCCTGAGTGCTGGCACTTCCCGTGCTCACAGGAAGCACAGCGCCTCCTCATCACACACTCACTGAACCTCACAACCATTCAGGGGCCCAACTGTGATGCCCAGTTCACAGATGGGGAAACTGGGGCACAGAGAGGTGCAGTAACAGGCCCAAGATCGCACCAACGCAGCAGTGCGCTCTGAGCCGGGCTCCTAACCCCTCGGCCAGGTGCCTGGGGGCGGGGCCTGTGAGGAGAGAGGTCCTTTGGGGGAGGACAGAGGCAACCAACTCGAAGCAGCGCCAGGGAGTGCAGGTCCCGGGAGAGAGCGAGAGAGCCAAGCGCTCCAGCCCCACCAAAGGCCGGCCGCCAAGAGCTGGCCCGGGTTCCTGAGGCCTCAGAGGCTGCTCCTGTGCCCACATTACTGAGGGGCCTGCGGCTGGGCGTGGGGAGGGAAGGGGCCGGGCAGCTTCTCAGGCCAGTGTGGGTAGAGGATGAGGAGGGTCCCTGGGGCTGGGTGGGAGGGCTTCCTGCTTGACGGATGCCCTGGACACTTGGGGTGCACGGGGTGGCGCAGGTGTGGGGGCCGCCTGTGAGCCCGAGCCCACGGTGCCTGGCCACGCTGCCCCGGGCCCCCGAGGCCCTCTGCTCACGGGAAGCAGCGCACACCGGCCGCACAGCTGTGGTTCCTCTGTTGGCTAGGGGGGAGCACCCACAGCCAGGCCAATTGCACTCATTTATTTATTTTATTTTTTAAAACATATTTTTATTGATTTCAGAGAGGAAGGAAGAGGGAGAGAGAGATAGAAACATCACTGATAAGAGAGAATCATTGATTGGCTGCCTTCTGCACCCCCCTATTGGGGATTGAACCCGAAACCCAGGCATGTGCCCTTGACCAGAATCGAACCCGGGACCCTTCAGTCCGCAGGCCAACGCTCCATCCACTGAGCCAAACCAGCCAGGGCTGCACTCATTTATTTAAGCCGCCACCGGACAGGGTTATGAGCCAAGATTAGCCACTGGCCTCTGGCTGGAAGCAATACATATTCCCTCCCTTCTGCCTCATCAAATTGAATCAGTTTATTAAAGTTGCTCACAATTGATTGGTTCTGATTCCCCAACAGTGGAGAAGAGCAATGAGTCACTGGGCCTCAGGGCCAAATTCCACTCACCAAAATGAAGCCGCCAGCCAGAGGGGCCCAGCCAGCCTGTCACCTGCCACCTTCACCTTCCCACTGAGCGGCCCCAGCCCCCAAGCCAAAGGCTGCCTTGCCCCACCCCAGGGCTTGGGGACACAGCCACACCCAGCTGCATCCCCAAATCCTGGCCCCTGTCATGACCCCAAACACCTCACACTGAACCAAGCCCTGGCCCCCCTGCCTCCCCAGGGCACGCCCAGCTGTGTGTGCATCCTTCCGTGCGTCCGTCCGAGGCAGAGCCCGGCAGATTGGCGCCTCCCCCAGATGCCACCAGTCAGGTGCCGCCACCTGGGTCATGAGCATCAGTCCTTACGAGCCCGCTAACATTTGCTGCGAGTTCCCCATGTACCAGGGGCTGTGGTGTGAACTCGCCTAACGGTGTAGACCAGTGGTTCTCAACCTTCTGGCCCTTTAAATACAGTTCCTCATGTTGTGACCCAGCCATAAAATTATTTTCTTTGCTACTTCATAACTGTAATGTTGCTACTGTTATTCGTAATGTAAATATCTGATATGCAGGATGGCCTTAGGCGACCCCTGTGAAAGGGTCGTTCAATTGCCAAAGGGGTCGCGACCCACAGGTTGAGAACCGCTGGTATAGACGCTATGGTTATCTCCACTTTCTCGCTGGGGACACAGAGACAGGAGGTTAAGTGGCTTGCCCAAGGTCACGCAGCAGTAGGTGGCGGTGGCACACACAGCAGGTGAGCCATCCGAACGCTATCCCAAGCCCCTGTCCCTCCCTTCCCTGATCCTGCGGCTAGAAGGCCAAAGGCAGGCCTTCCCAGCCCCTCTTGCTGCTAAGCAGCCTGGGGCACAATTGTGACCAATGAGCAGGAGGTGGAAGCCGGGAGCAGCCGCTCCTTTCCGAGTGAAGTGGCCGCTGCAGGAGCCTTTGCCCCCCTTTTTCCCTCTCCTTTCTGGTGTCCCTCCCCCTTCGCCTGGTTCGAGGGGAGCACAGATGTGGTGGCCAGAGGTGCAGCAGCCACCGTGTGACGATGAGGACGAGGTCAACATGCTCAATGTGACGGAGCCCGTCCCCAGCGATACCTTTAGCCACCGCACCAGCTCAGGGCCCGTCTCCAGACTTGCTCTGGGACGAGGCAGACGCAGCCTCACCCACCTTCCTGTCCTCACTCGGACGCTCTCCTGGGCTCACCAGCCCTGCTCCGAGCCCTGGGCCCAGCCGTCTCGTCCGCCTGTCCCTGAACTTGCAGGGCCACGTTGGAGGCTCCCCTGCACCTCTCTTGGGTCCCTCCCGTCGCAGGCTGGAGGGCTGTTTGTCCCAAGTGACTTGGCAGCTGCCTGAGCGCAGCCTGTTGGCTTTGGGGGGACACCTGGCCGAGAGCAGAGCCAGTCTTTCTCAGGAACTTGAACAAGCTTGGGGCATGGTCTCGAGCAGGGAACGCTGGGACAGGCTGCCTGGACCCTCCTTTGGAGTGAAGGACATGCCCTCCCCCCCCCCCACCTGTGGGAAGTGCCCACCAGAGACTGGCGTGCCTCTTGGCATCGCCCCTTGAAGGGCTGCCTCTACTGAAAAGAGCGGTCTTGGCAAAGCCACGCCCCCTTCTGGGCAGCAGACACCAATGACCAGGTTAAAGGCCTGGTCCCCTCACATTCCAGGTCCAGAGCTCCCACGAGATGGGCAGAGGATGTTTTGGGGATCGTGTAGAACCCGACCCCTCCCTCTGTCCACTCCTGCGTCCTCCCCTCTACCCGACCAGGTGTCGATCCTGGGAACATCACCGATAAACACCCTCCATGCTAAACTCATCTCAGTCTGCCTCCCGGGAGCCCGACCGAGACACACAGGCTGAAGAGACAGGCCGCTGGCATCCATGAACAGACGAGAAGCGGGGACCTGGAGCGCAAGGGGCAGGCAGGAGAGACCACCTGGCCCCCCGGGGAGCAGGAAAGCAGGTGTCCGTGCTGAGCTCACAATCCAGCGAGACAGATGGACAAGTAAACAGACAGTTAGACTACAGGGAGAGAAGCTGTAAAATCACTCAGGAAGGGGGCTCCCACAGGCTGGGGACCTCCTGCAAGCTCCCAGGGGAGGTGACAACC